GGTGCGTAACGCGAAAAAGTCGCTTCGAGTCCTATCCAACCCCAGACGCATGTTTTGTGCAAGGAACCCTTAGGTTGAGCGTACTTATAATTTTTAAGGATGTGTTATACTTGGCGATTAGCGACAGCGCTGCGAAAGACGTTTACGTGGTAGAAACGGAGAACGGGAAAGGCTCCGCGACAGCGTCAGCGTGCATTTTGGCTTCGTGGTCGTGCCATTTTGCAAACACGTCGGCCTCACTTTACGCCCGTGGACTTTGTGTATAAAATATGAAATGCATAAACTCGCTACTAGGAAATTGCGATTCGCCAAGTCTGACATCGGCCCAAATAGAATGTACCATAGCACGTCTCACACCGCACACCACGCGCTGTGACTCATCCGCCAATCCGTCTGCGTCTCTGAATTCTCGCCACGCGACGGGCCTCCTGTCGGGTACCCGCAATACTTGAACACTCGTGAAACACAAGTTCACGCAACGGTATTGATGACAAGCCGTTTTCCTAGAAATTAAGAGGAATCACTTACCACGTGGTCCCCTTGAAGTCCTCAGGGTGGTGAATGCGAGGGTGGCATTGTCGTCAGCCGTTGAATCAAAAGTTGTATCGGAAGTGTAATTGGTGGGCGTGACCGTGATATTGTTGTCAGCCGTTAAACTATAAATCGTTTCGGAAGTGTAATTGGTGGACGTGAACGTGACATTATCGTCGTCCGTGATACCATAAGTCGTAGTGGAAGTGTAGTTGGTGAGCATGACTGTGACGTTGTCGTAAGTTGTTAAATCGTAAGTCGTATCGGAAGTGTAATTGGTGAGCACATCATCTGAATTACAGAAATTCATCTAGCGTATTGTCGTCAGCAATTTTACAAATAACATTTTTATAATGGTACCACCGTATTGCGCCCGTGCCGCCCGATGTCATACCCGGCTCAGGCGAAATAGAACGGGCAACCAGGTGTCCTCAGTGTGGGAAGCTCCGCCCATCACGGTGTACGGCCCGCCCACCATGACATACAATCAATTCTCCTCCATCCACCTTTACACACTTTTTCTGGCTCTCCGGATCATCTCGGAAACGGCTTATAAGTTTCACTGTAAAGCCCGTCCACTTCAAAGTACGCTCCTCTAAACATAAACGTTTGTGCTCCCCTCCTTCGCAGACTCGGTCCAGTTTTCTCCTTCCCTTCTCAGCACCGAATTATGAAGATTCGTAGAGAACCCCGTCCACTCAGAGAAGGGCTCCGTCCACTGTGGGAGGCCACCGCTCATTTCGAGTGCACTTTGTACTCCATAGAATTGGTCATCTCCACCAAGTATTTTTCTGCTTCGTAGGCTTTTTTTATGACCGATGTATGAACATTTCAACAAGCAATGCCCATTCCGAGAACGCTCCTCCCATCGCTGACCACCAGTCTTCCCTCCATCCTTGTACTCCATTCACTTTGTCCTCGGTCTCCAAACAGACCCGGAACCCAGGGATATGTAGAGGTATATGAACCCGGTTCTATGTAGAGTTTAGGGCAAACGCCGTCCACCTTTGCACGCCACGCTCACAAACAGTATATGAGCTCTCCTTTCTTGGCGGCCTCAACACACTTTTAACCTCCAGGCGTTCACTGAACCAAATCATAAGCACTTCTAAGA